CAGTAATTGTGGGGGTAGTGGGGATGTATTGGCAGGTTTTACATTTCTTGTCACGGTACAGCCTGGATCCATTCAGTGTGTTTTGAGCTGTAAAAAGTTTGCTTCTGGTGGTTTGGTGCTTGTTTAAAAGCTAGCATGGGCAGTTCTGAGTAGATCTCTTAAGAACTCGGTCTCCTTGTATGGGCTGCAATTGTTTGAGGATTTTCTGTATGGGTTTCAGGGAGGGACAATATGTCATAACCAATGGTGTGCGATTTATGGGGGTATGGTGTTCTTCTGTACTGCAGCAATTCTTCATGTGGTATCTGGGTGGCTCTTTCAAAAGTGCAATCCATCTCTCTGGAGGAGTGTCCTTGTTGAGTGAAAGCCCTTTTGAGATTTCTGAGGTGACAATCATTAGTGTTCTCCTCAGTGCAAATTCAGTGGTATCAGAGGGCTTGGTTGTATATTACAGCTTGGTGTGTTTAGGGTGATTGCTGGTTCTGTGCAGATATGTATTTTGGTCCATAGGTTTCTTGTATACAGTGGTCTGTATTTTACCATTCTGGATAGTGACCATCGTGTCTAAAAAGGAAATGTTGGTGTTGGAGTATTCCAGAGACAGTCTGATGGGGCGGGGGTGGGGGGTGATGCTTGTTGAGTTTTTAACAAAAAAATCAGTGATTGCAAGTTTTCAGTCCAAATGATAAAGATGCCATAAATATATCTTAAGTATAGCAAGGGTTTGATGGTGCAGTCCTTGAGAAATTTTTCTTCCAGGTGGCTCATGAAAAGGTTGGCATACTGTAAGGACATTTTGGTGCCCAGAGCTGTGCCCATGGTCTGCAGGAAGTGTTGATTATTCAGAGTGAAGTTGTTGTGTGTGTGGGTGAAGTGTATAAGTTATCTTTGGGTCTGAGCTGTAATGTTGCTCTTGTAGATATGTAAGGCAGGTTTGGATGCCATCCTGGTGTGGGATGTTGGTATAGAAGCTGGTAATGTTCCTGGTGGTTTAGGAGGGTATTGCTGTAATGATGGTCTATGTTCTTAAATTTTCTTAGGAAGTTTGTTGCGTCTTGGACAAAACTCGCTCTTTGGGTGTGGTTCTGTGGTGAACACCCATAACTGTCACCTCAGAAATCTCAAAAGGGCCTTCACTCAACAAGGGCATTCCTCCCTAAACACACCAAGAAAGCTGTAATTTACAGCCACAGACTATCAAAGCCAATCTATTAAAGACAAAAATACCCAATTACCTGTGGGGATACATTTCTCACAAGAAAACTCTCTCTCCACTCTCTTAGATATAATCCTCAAAGGGAATTTACAAAATACCTTTCACAGCCAAGCCTATGAACTTCATTTCATCAATATACTGAATACAAAAAAACCATGGACTAAATATAGACATTGGATTTATGACACATTATAACCTGCCTAACATCTGACTCCCCAAATAACCTCTCCACTTTTTACCAGCTATATTCATTCCCATCCCCCTCCCCTCCCCCCCCCATCTCTCATCCATTGACTACAACTACATTCATTCCCCTCCCCTTCCTCACCTGTCTCTTACCTATTTACTACCCAAATTTACATTTTAGCTGACTGGCTTTCTTGCACACATACTGGCCTCCTGGCTGGAGTAGTAAAGCAGCCAGAAGAGCACAGACCAACTGCAGACACTTCCTTTGCCTGATGAAAGGTATTTGTAAGCTTCCAAAGAAGAATTTGTCCAATTATTTGAGTTAGTCTAATAAAAAAAATATCAGATTTACCCAAAAAACCTTGTCTGTTTAATTTGGTGTGTGTTTAAATTATATTTTGTGATTTTAATTACCCTTATTTATAACATAGTGACATAACTTCATAATTAGCAGTATAACTGTCTGAATGATGCCTTATCAACTCTAAATACATTTTACGTTTTCAGCTGGCTTATATACACTTAAGAATCATGCATGTTATAGGTAAACAGCAAGCATGTATGATCATTATCCTAGCACTTATAAATGAATTACCTGTATAAACACACACTATAAAAACACAGTATCAGTGAACAGGGTCAGACTCTGCTCTTCCTCATACACAGTCTATTGTGACTACATTTGGTCATACGGTTATAACTGAAAGGAAAATTTGCTCTACAAAGTACTCAGACTGCAAATGTTTCTGTAGGGCCAATGTCTGGAAATGTCTGTAGGTATCTGGACAGCATCTTAAAAAAATGGCTACAAAAACTGGTACACACATGCTAAAGGCTGCAATAGTAATATTAGGGGGCACTGTGATCTGGTTTAGGCATAGATGCTGCCTCAGGCCCTGCTCAGATTGCTACTGTCTGTATGCAAACATGCAAACTATACCCCATGAATCTTCAGATTAAATCCAGCAATGAACCTCTGCTTCGATAGCAAAAGCTCTGCAAAGCTAAGGGTCCTTCCCAGGAGTTTTGAGATATAGGAGGACAGATGTGTACAACTCCTGTGCTTTGTTTCAGCTGCCAGTTGCAAATTTGCTGGCATAGGTTCACACACACAGCCAATCTCCAAGTGGGCGGAACTGTACAGTCTTGTATTTTATGTCAGGGTTGCCAAACCCAACCTGTCAGAAGCAGGTGCAAGTAACTTAGAAAGCTTTGGCTACTCCTCTGCCAACTGGTCAACTTGTGTTTAAACTATGTAGTGGCTAAATTCCTGGGGCTTTTACTGTGTGCCTTATTAGAAAACATGGTGACATTATTTTTGTTTTTCTTAAATGATCTCTGTTTAGTTACCTCCCACTTGTGCAGTTTTGCTGTAGCTGCCAGACAGAGGCCCATTCATGCCACTTCCATAGTCTCCTTTAAAGTAGCGATTTAGAAGGATTTTCCTTAAAGTGTTCCCCTTTAAAAGAAGGATGAAGAATGAGCATGAGAAGTTACAGTAGTGGTCAATTTCTTCCTTTTGGAGAAATAACTGCTTGGCACAATAACATATTGTAATAACTCTTTAGATAATCAAGAGTACATGCCTAAGTAGTGGAGGTTTGCCCAGAGAACTATGGCCTTATCCACGGGTTAGCAATCTTTAAAGGCTGTAAGCTGGATTGATGCAGTTCAGGTCAGAAACTGAACAACAGATGGCTAGGCACTAGGACAGGGGCAGGCAAAAATCCAGCCTGCCAGGCAATTTCATCCAGCCCATAGGCACCCACCAACTCACTGTACCCCATCCAGCCTGCATGCCTTGTTCTCACCCTCGTAGACAGAAGGGCGCAGCCCAGGCAGCACACATCTTCCAGCTGAGGCAGCTGCTGCCACTGCTGCAGCCACTGGGGGACCTGCTCATTTTCCCCAGTGTCGCATTCACTCAGGGTACCAAGTAAGAAAACAGCGATGGTGGGGGCAGGGGGCCAGCACTGCATGTGGTGGCGAGAAGCACAGCCAGGCCAGCCTGCCTCTTTTGCACGGGATTCCGCACAGCACACATGAAGCTCCCAGCACCCACATGCCACCAAAGGAAGCCCTGCGCAATGGAGCCAGCTACCTTTGCCCCTGTCTGCCATGCAGGCACCACATGCAGCACTGCTGGAGCTGCACACTGCTGGGCAGCAGTGTCTGCATGGGCCACAGACATCCTGAGTGCACCCACCTCCTGCTGTTGCCTCTAGCAGTAGGGGCTGTGTGCCATGGGGGGGAATGTGTGTGGTGGGTCCCCACACCCCCCACCCTCCCTCACATCCACACCCTGCCCACCTGAGCTCAGCACTCCCACTGTCCCCCCGGGCATGCACTCTATGCTGCCGCCAGCCCTGTGCTCCTGGGGGGGCGCAGGAGGGCCTCACAAGGGGAGGGACTTCTGGTGGCACAGGTCACAAACTAGGGGCAGGACTTCTGGTCCCAAGATGGTGACCAGGAGGTGGGGCACCTGTCAAGGGGTGGGGCTACCCTTGCAGCCCTCAACAGCACAACAAAACTCATTAAGCAGCCCTCCAGCTGAAATAATTGCCCACTCCTGCACTAGGACCACCCTGCCACTGCTGCTTTTCTCCGTCACCAGCTTGGGGAAAGCACCCACCACCGCTTTTCCCTGCATCCACCACAGAAAAGCAGCAGAGGTGGGCTCTTTCTTCATGCTGAGGCAGGGAAAAGCAGCAGCAGTGGGTGCTTTCCCTGCACCAATACAGGAAAAGCATTCACTGCTGGCACAGGGAAAGCATCACTGCTGAAGCCCCACATCCACGGACTAGATCAAAAGGCCACAGCTTGCCGATCCCTGGCCTTATCTAATAAGTCTTATGGAGGAGTTCTAAACTATTTTCCGATAGATTTATTTAACATCTTTAACTCAATCACAAGCAGCTACTTCAGTTTCTTTAATCATGGTGTATGGAGTCCATATTTTACAACTAGATCCATGGAGACAGACCCCAGCATCTTCTCTTTGTCTCCTCCTTCCCCCATCCACCCATTATCAGGGGCAGATCACAGGTGGGTATGTGATGGTGTAGTTGCTTCCCCCTTCAGCTGTGAGGTGCAGATGCAGTAATCTCTCTGAGCATATCAGCACAGCTCATGCCAGGATCTATGAGCTCACCAGCTGGTCAGCTCAGCCTTTGGCTGGAGCCCTGTTTTCACGCATCCCCAGATCCCAGGGGATGCATTGCTGCTCCTCCCCACCCTTTCTCCCTGCATAATTCAGAGACAGGAGAAAAGAGGGACAAGCAGCAGCATCACTTAGCTCTAGAGCCCAGGAGATATGTGAAAACAGGGGCTGAGCACCAGCATTGGTCATCCCCTCTACTCTTCTGCTTCTGAATTCAGAGGGGAGGAGGGGAAGGGGGAGAAAAGAGCAGAAAGATAGAGGAAAAGGGCAAACATAGCAGTGGCTTTCACCCCGTGGGCTCCACAATTATGCAAAAGCAGTGGCTCTGGCAAACACCCAATCTGACCAGGACTACCATAGGAAAAGAGAGGATGATAACTACAATGTGGTAGAAATAAAGTTAGCTATATCTTCTTATGAGAACTAAGGTCTATATCCTATTCCACCTATTAAATGCCTAAGTGGACTTAAGTATGTAAGAGTGAACTAAATTCACCCTACTGGATTCTCTAAAAAATAGTTAACAGAAGTGGTAGGTGCATTAGCCTATTTGGGGCAGACTCAGGATCACATTTAGATGCCTAAATCCACTTAGGCACTTAACAGGTACCATAGGACATGGCCTTTAGTTTTCACAATTTTTTTTTTGAAAATATATGCATCATGAGAAGTTCTGGGTGTCCAGCAGGGCTTGCATAATAATAGCACACCTAACTTCCCAGTTGACATACTCCTGTGACTACTACAGGAGGCAGAGAACAAGGAAATGAATTCCAGCTAACCTTTCAGAATAGCTGAGGAGGCTCACCTTTGTTCTAACCTAGTTCCTGTTCCCTCATTAACAGGCATTTCTAACAGTAATCACAGGTGTCTGAAAAACCTTCTAGCTACCTTGAGCACAATGGGCATGTCAGCACCAAGCAAGTTCCAGCATGCAACACTCTATACATGTAGACAGCCAGCACAAAATAGCAACAGTTTTCTAGACCATGAAGTTTCCTAGACAATAAAAATTGTTTCTCCTCATTCATATTTTTGGTCATTCACAGGCATTATGGCACACCTTCCTCTCCTCCCGAGCCCCCCAGAACATAACCTAATCCAAAATAGACAGTATGTATGAAAACACTTAAATGCCATAAAGTGGGCAATAGCCTCTTAATGGAGAGACGTGACTAATAACCCATCTTAAAAGAAAAGCCTTGACAATGACCTCTACAGCATTTCTGATGGAGAGGGCTATAATAAAAGTCACAATACAGTTATAGGAAGGAATGCCTAAAGTCACTTATAGATCATTTTTACAAAACAATGCCAGAAGTCATAGGCTGTATTATTCAATCAAAACATTCTTTATTGTATAATGTTTAAGCCCATGCAATATGTATTATATATGTACTAGGTACAGAATTTCAAATAAATAAATTTAGATACAAACATACAGAATTGGTACAAAAATTATTCAACTAATAATTTAGGATGACATAACTACAAACGGGATTGAAGAGCTATGTCTCTTGTTCATACCTTTTTTCCTGTGCCTTATCTTCCACAAGGCAACAGGAGCAACAGCACTATGAAGTTGCTTCTTAAATCAGCTATGTAACTCTAAGACTTCTTCCCCATTGTCAGGAGTCAGGGCAGCAGGCAGGCTTTAGTCCCCAGCTGGCCCTGATTACAAGCAGGGGACTGACTGCCAGTGGCCTAACTACCCCAAGCTGGCCCTAACTACCCACATGGATGTGGCTGCCTCCAGATGATCTCTTAGTATTCCTCAGGCCACTCTGTCTAGCTGGGGTGCTCCTCTGTCTAATTTCTGATCTCTGGCTCCCAGTTTCCTAGTTCCTACCTGATGGCTCCTTGTTCCTAACTCCAGCTCAGGTCCCTACCCCTGACCATCAACTCTTTGGTTTCTGACTGCTAACTCATGGCTCACAGTTTTAGTTTGACAATCACACGTCTCAATCCTTTAAAATCACAACAATTTGCTTCAGACCCCCTGGTTAGTGACTCTAGTCTGAACCCCTACTTTCAGCTCCTGAGTCCACAGACTCATATCTTTAGTTCACCAATCACCCACATCCTAGTCCCTTACAGTTCATAGACTCCTGGCCTGCCTTATAACTCTAGTTTTGACCCTTCCTTCCTGGCCTTGCCTACTCATGACTAGTGTCATCTCCTGACATCCACAAACAATATCACAAAACAGTGGACTCTCATTTCTTAGGACAAACCACTACCCCTTCATTATTAGAACTCCTGCTCTGCTGTTTTTCATTCCTCTCGAGGCCTTGTTATAAAGGTAATTTTGGGCAGCACCAGGAGCTCTTAACCCCCTGGATTGTCCACATATTTAACACCTAAAACTAATTTTAAGCACTCATTAGGAAGCTCAAAGTTACACCACTCCAGGTCAGGATTATCTCTGATCTCCATTACCCATCTTGTGTTATGCTAAGATACAGCCACTGTAACACCCCACCTACCTCCCCTGCCCTGCTGGTGCAGATCAAGTCCACTGCCCTCCCCCACCAGCCCCAGATCCCTATTCACTGCCTCTCTACCCACTTACTTGTGGCTGCCCACATTGTCTGTCCCAGGGATGTGGGCAGGATAGGGCTAACCTGTCTGCTCAGCTGATGCCACTGCTGTTGCTCTCTGAGCCAGCTCAGCTTGGAGAAAAGCAGCAGCCCAGCAGCAATGGCAGCCAGAGAGACAGGTTAACCCTCCCCTGCTGTTCCCCAGAATAGACAGAGCAGGCAGCTACAAGTAAACAAGGGTGGGGGAACTGGAGGAGCCTTGTGGGGCAAGGGGGAGGGCGAAGCCCGAAATGGGAGCAGGGAGATTCTTACCAGCCAGTCCTCCAGCTCCCTGCCAGCCTGAACATGCAGCTGCTCCAAATTTGAGCTACCACTAACACTAATCAACATTTGTGTGGCTCAGTATAATGTATAATAAAGCCCTGGTAGCTCCCAGCGTTCTCTGAAAAAGTGCCAAAAAAATCAAGGGCATTGTTGCCTGAAAAGGAAGAATACCAAGAAATCTCTGGATTGTGTGACAGCAGTGTTAAAAATGCAGAACAGAACTTTACCCATACCCTTTTCAGTTTTAGGCTCTTCAATCTCCCCATGTATTTTCTATACCACATTTCTGATCTTCAGTAGCCACATGACTCCTCAACAATATTGATTCTCTTATAAAATTAGCTAATAATGCAAAGAGCAGGCTGTTTCTCTACAGTATCAATTGGGCCCAGGAAATTCTGAGATACTCATAATTCTAAGAATCTCTATAAGCTC